GTAAGAGCAATGCTGGGTACCAAGGGAAGGAAAATGCTTGCTGCCAAAGGTGGCTACCTGAAAGTACAAACACGGAGGCTTTTCTGAAGCCCAGTTAAGAATTAATGCAGATATTTACATCATTTCAAGCGGTAGCACACAGCAAATACACTGGGTCCACGATCCCATTCTTAAATTTTACTGGGGGCGGGGGGGAAGTCCAAGATAAGGGACAGAGAAATATGGTCTCCTTGGAATAAACTTTGAAAACAAAGTGATGAGGAAGTAAAGAATGTTTGTCCAGGGATGATTATTTTTTGCTGCAGTAATGCTCTCCTGGCTTTCCTGTGGCATTGCGCTGCTTTGGGTGCCGCAGAAAATGGAAGGGGTGACCCACAGAAGGGAGCCTCCTTCCTTTTAGTGTTTCAGATCTGGTTTACAACAGTATTTCAACTGGGAAAAAAAGTCTCATCAGGTTTGGTGGTAAAACACTACGTTTGCCAAGTAAATATTTCATCGCAACCAACACCAGGATTAGTGCGATCCTTTGCACAGATTTCCTCCCTTCTCTGCAACTCTCCTGAGTTTAGTCACCTTACCTGAATGAAAACTCATGGGAAGATTGACACGCGGGATAAATGAAACAATTGCATCCTTTCCATAGGGCTTTCAAGTGAATTGTACAATAATCCTGGGGATGATTCATAATAAAAAATAAACATCCAGATAGCTTAAACCATTGCTTGCATTATTTTCTTATTTAAATATCTTAAGTGTTTTCTAATGCTGCACCGCTTATACCTCTCAGTCACAAATGCTGTCTTATAGTTCAAAGATGTTTGCTTAAAAGTTAATCCTTTGGGCTCTGTAAAATGGACCTTTTGTCTAATCAATGCAAATTGATTTTGCTATTCTGTATTGACCTCTCAACCCTTTGACTGTCCATGGTAATTTCTTTCTTCACCTGATAAGGTACCTGATCCATAATAAATCAATTCTAATTAGTTTGGAGACTTCACTGGGAGCATAAGTTTGTCAGAAAAAAGCAGCAGGTTTCAGGTAGCTTTCCATCTGTGGTTATATTTTTTGCATAAGACTACATTCACTATATTCTTGGATAAACTTGAGTCATAAATATATACATTGCTTTCTGCAGAGACAAGCCAGTTTAATTGGGAATCATACTAATGAAATATTTAAAACATAAAATACTCTAAAACCAGGCAGGATTTAAGAGATACTGGATTTAAATCCGAAATTTCAATGCTTAATTGCCTCTTATATGTTTTACTGTCTTGGAATGTCCTAGCAGCAGCCTTTGAATGTCTAGCAGCCTATGCCATTCACACGCTGACTTGAACAAAAATCTGTCCTTTTTTAACTTCTTTTTTGTAAGTTCAGAGAGAGATGCCAAAACCCAGGAAGGTCCTCTTTTTTTTTCTTTTTTTTTTTTTGTGTGTGCTACTGGTGATATGGTAAACAGGTGTTTAGGGAGAAAACATAAGTGCTGGAGAATTTTGGTTTTGTTTTTTATTTATACAACAAAGTCCACATTTAGCATTTTAACCCTCAATAAGATTATTAGCCTGCTAGAAGTTTTAGCAGCTGTCTGCTTTTACCTAAAAAACATATTAAAAGAGAAACTCTCCCAAGAAAATGCCTGTGAAATGACAAAATACATGTTTGTGACACTTCGCCTCTCGATGTGTGCATCAGCACTGTATTGCTTTCTGCATCTGACATACGCTGGGGTGCAAAGACGCACTTTTTGGGAAGCACTGGTAAGACCACACCATTTATAATATGATTTCCCCAAAGAAGCATGGGCTGCCCGAACAGCCCGGTGCTGTCTGCTCCGAGGCCATTTAGCCGATTGCTAATGAGCGCTTGGGCTCCACGAAAGAGTTGAAAAGACAGATCTCACTTTTACCAGCACCGATTCCTAACCTGAAATATATGAGCAGTAAAAAAAATATATATATATAACAGGACGCAACCGGTTTGTTTGTCTAAAAGAAAGGCAGAACGCACCAACCGAAACTGGAACTTGAAAAAAAAAAAAAAAAAGAAAAGTCTTTGAAAGGTGATAATTGCTGTTTTGGTAAATTGCTCTAACTCTTCCACGCGTGACTGTGCTGTTTAAAAATCTATCAACCAATTTACTTCGCTAGTTGATGACGAGGGGGGGAAGAGAGCGCCTTGCAAAAGGTAGCAGCCTGCTGATCGCAGATAAAGGCGGTTTATTGGCGGCCGGCCTGCCCTGCCTGCACAGGCAGCGTGTGGGCAGCGCTGGCGTCTGGAGGTGCTGACCGTTACGATGTTCAGTGATGTGGAGACGGTGTCCTCTTAGCCAACCGCTAAAATGGAGGCATACGCAGCTGAATAGCCTTTTGGAGTGTTACGGCACTTCACGCGGAACACTTGAATGACCGAGGGTGGTAAAAAAAGGCATACTTTCTCCCCACATTAACGCGCTGCCTTCTTCCAGCTAGGAAGTGTTCCTCTCTTTCTACTGCTGAGACTGCTCCAACCAAAAAAGGCCTGAAATCCTTGCCTAATAGGCCAAAGAAAATATAGGTTACTGGGTTTGTTTTAACCTGCGCACATGGGAAGGCATTTTGGCTGTCTGTCTGGGAGCTGGCCGGCTCGTGTAAACAAGGTACTGCATTTCAGAGCCTGATTTTTTGCCACGTCCGCAGCCGAGTGGCGGGATGCCTTACTTTCAGCTACCTTTCCTCACGTCCCTTTCTTTTTTTTCATTTGAGATTTAATGCCTCCTTAGAAAAGATAAGTTCATTTTTGCACACCTTGGGGTGGTGTGTTCATTTTCTGCCCAAGAAATGGATCTTCTTTCGGATTTTGTACATCTTGATTTATTCTTGGCTTATAGTTTGAAGTGGGTGCTCTTCTAAAAGGATTTATGCATAGGTTCACTATTTTTGTAGTTATGGTTTATATGATAAGCTTTTTATATTTAAAATCAATATGTAATCCTGTGGAGGAGCTTATCCTCTAAAACCCCATTTGTAAATCTATTTTAGCTTTGTTACACCGCGCAGCCACAGTATTCCATAGATTGATTAATTCAGCAGCAGAATCCTATCAAATGGCCTGCTCTGATGATGATGCAAACTCTTTCAGGATTGCTAGTTGACTGGAACTAAAGATAAGACCTGACTGCAATCCCCCAATGTGCTCTTTACAAAACTAGTGTTAATTTTCATCAAAGTGCCGGGCTTATTTATTATAGTGGCGAGGTTGAAGGTTTTACTACGAGAACTTTCGACCATTTCTATTAAAGCATTTCTATGGGAACTGGCCGCCTGTTTACTCAAAGTAATTATCAGTTTAAGCAGTGGGGGGAAAAAAAGACAATATGAAGTCAATGAAGATGAATAATTGAAAACATTTCTACATTAACGTGAATTTAGCAAACTCTGTCATTTTAAACTGCCCATCGTGAGCGGTGGCACAGGGGCTTTAGCTTTCAACACTTTTAGCTCATATACAGCCTCAGAGCTTAATCCTATTTTTGTCCGGAGTGTAGCTTTTATAACAGTATTACTCTGAAATCTTCAAATTAATCACAGCCCATATTGTAGCTTCCCAGAGCTGCAGTCAGCCTGGGTAACTATATGTGACAGGTGTTATAGGTAATCCTGGCTTAAAAGGCACAACAGGTAGGAATCAAACTTGAACACAGTTGCTTTTTTAAACACAGGGATGCTTCCCAAAACTGCTGCCCGGCAGTATTTTGTTGGATAAAACAAAATTGCAATGTAATCACATATAAAATGTTATTTAAATACTTTATGCCGGTTCCTCTTTTAACCAATTGCTACTTGACTGTGTTTATTTGGGGGGGGAAGTCAGACTCCTTTTCTAGGAAACAAAGTAAAAACACAAGAGAATATTTCTGCCAGCAAGTTTTCCCATGGCATATTTCAAACACTAACAGTAAGCAAATACAGAAACAAACAAAACAAAAAAAAACAACAAAAAAAACAGTTTTGTTCCATGAAGTCATAATATGACATTATTTACCCCACAAGGCTACAAGGTGGGGCAACAAAACCCATAGCTCTTAGAAAGGGACTTAACAGAGGAAAAATAGTAGTGAAGGACTGAGCAAAACCTGTACCGAAATATTTTTGATTGGTGTTTGCCGTTTCGAAAGATAAAATTGCTGCTGAAACTAGAGAAGTAGGGGGTAAAGCAAAACAAAAAAAAAAAAAAAAAGAAGGAAAAAGGCTTTAAAAATAAGAGCTTTTCAACTCAGTGAAACCCGTCAAAATTGCAAGGTAATTAAATCAAGTCCAGGTAGAGACGGGGTTTTTCGGGTCCCTTTTCTTCTAGAGCTTCATATGCCCAGATGTGCCGGGGAGCCCGACTCTCAGCACAAGTATCAGCAGAAGCGGGGGGGAAAGTTAACCCGAAAGTTGGGGGCCATGTCTGGGGGGAGCAAACACCCGTGAAATTCTCTGCCGTGTCTCTCTCCTCCTTTTCTGCCCGGCTCACCGCTGTTGCCCTTCGCAAGACGGTTTGGTCGCGCTGAGATTGCATTGCGCATGCAGGGGCTTTATTTATGTGGGCAAAACCCTCCGGTTTTGGGAAGCTCTGACTTGCAGAGGTGCAGGGCGGTGTGTTTTAAACGGGTGGAACTGAAGGAGCCTTCCCCAAAAGGAGCAAAAGGGCAACCAGCGGTGGAAATCGAGAGACCGCGTTGAAAATTAGCACCTAAAAGGCTGCTACCTAAATTAAAGCAGCTTTGTCGCAAGAGAAATGGCTGAGATTACCAGTAATTTTGGCTGGTAGCTTCGGTTCTAATCTGTGTATACCTGGAAAATTATTTCCTTAACAACGGCGAGGGGGAAGCAACACACTTGAAAAAGAAAGAGAAAAGGGGAAAGAAAAAAGGAGAAAAAGAAAAACTCCTGGGAAGTTTCGGCAGTGCCCTGCCAGGCCGATGCTCCGGGAAGGGCTCTGGTGCCGCTGCACCGAATCCCTCCCCGATTGCGAGCCGCCGCCGTACGTGTTCGCCTCTCCCAAGCGTGTCTGCACACACGTGTCGGCGTGGGTTCTCCCTGCGTGTGTGTGGACCCGAAACTCGCTCGTGGGCCCGTGGGCCCAGGCAGAAGGCGAGGGCGCGATAAAAGTGGTTACACGTTCCTGCCTTTCTGCCGCTTTTCCAACCTTTATTGCATGATGATGCATCTAATTTTTAATTTGTAAATACAAGGCTGAATTCCCTCTAGCACCACTTGCTTTCATAAAGCTTCTGAGCAGTTTGCTGTCTTGAATAAATTTGGCTTTGGAGGGGGGTCAGGGGGATTTGAACCACCGCATTCTTGCGGGGCTTGTGAAGATTCACATGGTAACCGGTGGTGAGCATTGTTCGGGTTATCTGAATAAGCACCAGCCATGTGAGTTTTAACATGATCGCCCAGGGCAATAGAGAGCGCGGGGAGAAAGCCCAAAGGACTGCACCCTCTCTCCCCTTCGCCTTCGGGAAGCGCGGCCGGGGAGGAGGAAGAAGAAGAGGAGGAGGAGGAGGAGGACACCGCCGGGCCGGTGGCGATGGCTTCTCCCGGCGGGTTTTTTTTTTGGGTGGGTTGTTTGGGGTTTTTTTTTTTGGAGCCGGCGTCCTCTTTTCCTCCCGCTCCTCGTTTGTCCTGCTATCTCCCTCATCATCTACTGCTCCTGCTTTTCATTGTTTACCTTCTTAATGAGGGAGGCGGGGAAGGCTGGGGCTTGACTGACAGCGACAAGACCTTACGGTCTGGCTGGAGAGCCGGAGGCTGCGGGGCGGCCCCGGGGGGCTGCGGCGGGCCGGGCCGGGCCGGGCCGGGCCCGGGGGCCCGGGAAAAATCCCTTTGGGAAAAGCGAGGCGGGGCCGGCCCTCCCTGCCCGCCCGG